TGGATTCCATGTCATTCCACTGACCTTGGCCCCCAGATGTTAAAAAAATAACTTGATACAGGTTTAACTAACATGAGCCAGTTCATTTGTGGCATCTGGATGTCAAGTGAAATCGTGTTATTATGGTACTCATTCTGGTATTGAACAGGCTGTCATTGTTTATAGAAAATCTCCAGGGCTGCAATCTTAACTCCTCACCAGGAGCATCGGGGCTTAATGGAGAGGAGGAGCCACAGCTGCATCTCCAAAGCCCTGCCACTCATGGCAGGCCAAGGCCAAGGAGCATAAAAACTGTCAATATTTGCTGTGCCAGGTCCACATTGGAGTCATGGCTGGTAGATAGACTGGCGTAGGATCCTTGTCCTCCAGCCCCTGCCCTCGGCCTTGTTTTAGGGGTTTTTGTTTTGCAGGTGGGATTATCACCAGCAATAGCTTCCACCTAGGCATTTATCAGCTGCATGAAATACTGCTGCTTCTCTGGCAGCAGAGGACTTATCCCCCTCCTCATTGCCAATGGAGCCTAAACATTTCCAGCACAGTGGATTGGGCTTAGGACTCTTTTATAAATTGCTGATTTGGCCAACAGTTATTCATTCATTCATTTAACATTTCTATACTGCCCTTCATTGGAGGGTAAAAGGGGGGGGGGTTTACAATATAAAAAACAAAAATACATAACAAACAAAAGCAATACCCACCCACCCCCAGTTTATTTTTTTAAATAATTTTTATTAACAGACCAATCATATCATATCAAATCAAATCAAATCAAATCAAATCAAATCAAATCACATAAGTTCCGAATTACAGAGCCTAATTTTAAATTTTTGTTGGGGGTACCCATATTTCAAGTTCCGAAAGGGATCCAATCCTCTTGTTGCTGCTGCTTTAAAAGTCCACAAATCTGTCCAAATAATGTTCAGAATTCTGTCCAATCCTTTCTTGCTGTTTTCCACATCTCTTCTAGTTGTTTTCATATATTTTTCCTTTCTCTTTGTCTTTGTGGCCTCTGATTGTCTCCATAAGCGGGTTGAAACAAATTTGTATTCCTGTGTGGATTTTTTCCATTCGTCCAAGAGTCATATTTCAGACAGCTGCCGTATTTCATTGCTTCCATAAAGAAAAACATTCTTGCTGTCTACTCATTCACTTTTTACAGGTCTGTCCCTCTTTCTCAGTCCTCGAGGAGGTTCTACCAGGAATCCAATATGAAAACAAAGCTTCCTCCTCCCGATCATGAATCTTTCGACAGGACCTGTCAAAATGGCGACTCCCTTTTTGTTGCTGCGCCATCAAAAGCCCTTGATCTTTATCTCACAAGCCAAACTTTTGGTAGTAAATCATTTCCACACAGTTTTTAATCATCCTGCTTAGGTCGGTTATGCGACGGTTCTTTTTGAGGAGGGTTTATTGGTTAATCACATAGAAGAAAAGAAAAAAAGTCGTCCCCCCCCCATCCAGTCCCGCTCCGGCATACTGAACCTGGTGTATTTTCTTCATGTTGTATTCCGTTAAATCCAACCCGTTGCTCTCGTTTCACAGAGGTCACTTCAGTCAGCAGTCTTCACTCCTGTTCTTCACTTGAAATATGTGCATTTGCTTCATTTCCAATTATATATTTCGAGCTGATGCAAACAAGTGCGCGATCAGAGACAGCGTCCGGGAGAGCCGGACCCACCTGAGGGCTTTGTGCCTAGTGCCCTCACCCCCTTCTTTCGAATCCGGGGGTGAATTATGGACACAGCAGGCAAGGCAGCGTTCCCCATTCCCTGGGGGCAACGAAGGGAGGCTGCATACTCCCATATCAGCCTCTTAATTACCTCGTGTGGGTCGGAGAGATGTTATTGTCAGCCATCTTCCAATGCGCCCCCTGGTGGCCCCCACCCACCCCCAGTTTAAAAGGTCTTCGGTTTAATTAGCCGAAGACCTGACAGAACAGGAATGTTACTGTAATGTCTAGCCCTCTAAAGTGGGACTTTGGGGTAGAAAGTTTGAGAACTCTTGGACTATCCTGAATTGCTTATATTTGTTAATGCATTACTGAGAATGAGGCTAATACTACTCTATTCCAAACTTAAAAATGGAAAGCATGGTGGTCAACAAAAGATGTTTAAAGACTCTTTCAAGGCAAATCTAAAAAAAAGTCATATAAACACTGACAACTGGGAAACACTGGCCTGCGAGTGCTCCAATTGGAGAACAGCCTTTACCAAAGGTGTCCTGGGCTTTGAAGATACTCAAACTCAGGACAAAATGTGCTACGAGAAAAGCACTCTTGGCCAACCCTCACCGTGATCAACTCCCGCCCGGAAACCTATGACCCCACTGTGGAAGGATGTGTGGATCCAGAATTGGCCTCCACAGTCACTTACGGACTCACTGTTAAAACCGTGTTCATGGAAGACAATCTTACTCAGCTACGAGTGATCGCCAAAGAAGCAGCAGAAGCTGTGATACCATGCTGGATTCCTTTGAGAAAAAGGGTGGGATGGAATGTAATAAATAAACAATAATAAAATGATGAAGAGGAACTTGAGCACCTAAGCCCCTGCAAAATCCAGAAATCATTTTATGTGAGAAAACACATTAATTACAAAATATATCATCCCTGAGATCCAGGAATAATGAGCCTGCTTCCTCCTGGCTTTGCAACTGAAATAACCTCTAGTTCAATCTTGCCCTTCCCTCTATGCCTCAAAGACTACGTGCCTTTGCTTTTTAAAAACTTTAACCTTAATTTATAAAGGTTTATATATTTGTTCATAATATTAACAGCTAAGAAAGGAAACTTTTTAGAACTGCAAGCCTGCTATGAGGATTGGGTGGTGGGTTACTGCAACATCTGGAGTGAGGAAGGAAAGTCAATTAGAACTATGCGCTGCTAGTATCGCCTTGATATTTTAGAATATACATCCCCCCCCCCCCCAAGCTCAGATCTGGAAAGAAATAGGTACATTTGGATGGGACACAGAGAATCTCTGCATCTCTAAAAATGTTACATCTTCACCCAAAAGCTAATGGATCTTAACAGAGTCCCTACCTGACACATTATATCACAAGCCTTTATGATAATGTTTGCTTATGATGTGGAAAAAGAATATGTACATCTTCTCTTTTCCACACTCAGAGTCTCGTGTTAAAGGGAAATTTGTGTATCTTCCCCACTGGGGAGATAAATGAGCTGCATCCATTCTAGGCATGAGTTTTTCCTTCACATGACACTACAAAAACAAGGAAATAACATGCACAACTCACTTGCACATCCTTTATGTGTACCAAGTGGTTCTCAGTGAACATGAATTAATTGTGTATCTGTCCCAGAGATAATGTTCACAAGTGTCATTCAATTAAGAAGTGGAAAAAGATAGGATTCACCATTTAGAATTTACAAGAGCTACTCATGTGATCGATTTTTGCTCTTGCCTGGAAGCAAACATTAAGAGATGAACAAGCATTTTAATTTCTCCATCATCAGTGAGAGGTGGGCAATTAGCTCTGCTTGTTCTAGTGAGAAGCAAATTGCATTTGAGATGCTCTCAATGCAACACACTACCCTAATTTTTGACTTCGTCACCTTGTCTCTTTCTTTAACCACTGGACAGTTTGTCTTTAATAAGAAAGCTTACCCAATTATTTAAGAACTGCCATTCATCTCTTTTAATGCTAGGATGTTTACTGAGAACATTCAATTACATAATTAAAGTAAATAGGTTAATATTTTTGCAACAGGTAACTGGCTAACATTTCTGAACTTTAACAAGATTTTATTCAGGCAAACTTGACAAGTAAGTTAACTAATTTCTTCATTCCCTTTCTCATCTCTCTTCCTTTTTTACATTTCCCCCCTTCTGTTTGAATAAGGGGTAGGTGTTAGGATATTTCCGTTCCACCTTAAAAGGGAGCAGGCTGTGAGTCACAGAGTCTGCGTATTTCCTGTTCACAGGAAGTTTATGTTTTCTATTGCTTTCGTTTCTCTCTGTGTCGTAGACACTGAACCAGGCAGTCATGTTTTTCTTTGTTCTGATCAACGCTGAATAAAACTTGTAAATAATGCTCTCCTGAGTGCGACTTCTGCTGTGCATTATCTGCTGATAAAGAGTGTGCATCGGCTCTAGAATGGTCTGGAGCTCATGTCGCTAATTGCTGATACTGCGTGTCTACGGGAGGTCGATGGATCGTCCGGCAGCCGGCTTGGGGGCCATGATGGACTTTATCTCCCTGGCAGTATCCCAACAGTAGGAAGCAAAAAGGAATGGGAAATTGAGTAGGGAAGGATGGGCATGACTGGAATCCTTGCTTACTTCATAGTTAAGATTTATCACTGTAGCTGCATTGTTGTAATTGTTTTGTTTGGCATACCACTCTACTGAAATCCCTTCAATAAAATTAAAATTAAAAAGTAACACAAATTCTTGGTAACACAAATGTTTTTTAAGGCAAGAGTATTGCTTTCTGAGTATATAATAAGGGAAACACTTCTTTTAAATTTAAATGCAAATCCCTAGAATTGTCACATTATGTGAATGAGTTCTCATGAAGGCATATTTAAATTATTGCTAAAAATCAACAGGTTTATGATATTTAGGATTAGGATGTAAGAAGGAATGAAAACTTGGTCTTATGGCTAAAGAGGTGGGCTGAAAACCAACAATTAAATGCCATTTATTTATTTAAGATTGTATACTAATGTAGCTTCCCAATACTAAAATATAGTGGTGAGTTAGGAATATGAACATACTGTATCTTGGAAACACACAATAAAAACAATGTGATACCACCATCAAGATGTGTAAAATTTAAAAAGCCATCAAAAGTAGCAAGAAAGGCCAACGTAGTATACGGCAGGTTCTTGCAGTATGACAAATACATTGCATTTAAGCGCATCAGTTTATATAACAATTTCTTTCCCTCCTTTATCCACAAGAGCCCATCCATACTTTCCTACATCTTTCCTGTAAATACTGCAAACATTTTTCAACGGTGCTTGATTTTCATGTAGGCAGATACAGTGGTACCTCTGGTTACATACGCTTCAGGTTACATACGCTTCAGGTTACAGACTCCGCTAACCCAGAAATAGTACCTCGGGTTAAGAACTTTGCTTCAGGATGAGAACAGAAATCGTGCTCTGGCGGTGCAGCAGCAGCGGGAGGCCCCATTAGCTAAAGTGGTGCTTCAGGTTAAGAACAGTTTCAGGTTAAGAACGGACCTCCGGAACAAATTAAGTACTTAACCCGAGGTACCACTGTACTCCTACTTCGAGTCCCACTGAATTCAGTTGGACTATTTTGCTAGGGAACCCCAATGGTTTTTTTTTTTACTTTGCATTTGTTTCAAATTAACAGGCACTTTTTAAAATTGATCCTGATCAGCAAAGTGAAGATTGGCACTGAATGTTTCTAAAATACACCCTGGCTTAGGGCCAAAGTAGATGCTATGTTTTGATGCTACAGCATCCCATGTCATGTTAAACAGGAAGAGCTGCTTCTGAATACAGGGCTGGGAATGGGATTGAAGGATTTCAGTCCTTCACTTGCTGCCAGTTTTCCCCTTAAGGTTCAAGCATTACAATGGTCTGAGAATTCTTATCTAATAAGAAATGATAGTTCTTTGGGGCACAAACGCCTTTCTCATATCCAGGGTTGGATTTAGGTTTGATGAGGCCGTAAGCTACTGAAGGTAATGGGGCCCTTTATATGTCCAGCCGTCCTTTGTCAACAACAAATTGTCACTGTTTTGTGTGTTGAATATATGCTATATGGTAATTTATGGACCTAATAGGTATCTAAAGCTATTTGCACATAACAAAATATGTATTTTATCAAAGTAATGGTTGAATTGAAATACAATTAAGAAGAAGTATTATATTTTGGAAATGCACATCCAGTTTCCCCCCCTTTATTTTTTGGGGGGCCCCCCAAGAGAGTGGGGCCCTAAACTATAGCTTGTTTAGCTTATATGTAAATCCGGCACTGAATACCCTTTTTTATTTCAATTTATTTAATCATTTTTTCAATAATAACAACCACCACAAAAAACACATACAACAAAAACCGCAATAACACTAATAACACAATTTAACATTTCAGATTATTGTACTGATATACCTATGACTACCGGCACTGCATACCCTTAAAAACCTGCAGCGAATCTCTCCCTCTTTCAACTGCAGCACTGCTAAGAGTTCCTATACACTGTTTCCTTCCCTCAGAAAAACTTAGGTTTTTACCCCCATTAGCCTCCCTTCCCCAAATGTACAGCTCCTTTCCCCTGAGTCTGAAAGGGGCCACAGCTATGCTTAGCCCTCCTTCTTCCCGTAATCCTTCGCAGCCTTCCATTCCTCCTGCTCCTTATCTTGCCTTCACTAGAAGGCTCCCTGTCCTATATGTGAGTAGGGTGGGATTTGCACCATGTTACACTTTGGGGGGCGCTTTCCTTTTTATTAAACTAGCTCTCTCTCTCTCTGCCGAGAAAGATATCAGCAAGAACTGTGAGCAACTGCTGCTGGGCGGCAATGCAATTGCCACCCGCCCTTTGCTCGCTCCCTTGTTGACTCGTTGTGTAACAGTAGCAGATGTTCGCGGTTGCAGCAGCAGCAGCGGCGGCGGCGGCGGCAATCAGCATCCTTGCTAATGGCAGGAGGAAAGCACCGCTGTGCAGAGGACACGTAGGACACGTCGAGTCTGCCGGCAACCGCAGTCGAAGAGCGCTTGCTTGAGGAAGGGGTGGCAGGCCAAATGGTCTGTAAGCAAAAAGAGAAAAGCTGCTCACTTCTCCTCCCTGCACAGGGCTTGTTTCTGGGCAAAAAGGGGGGCGGGGAAGAGAAAAGTTTCCCATGATTTACTGGAGTGTGTGTGGAGCAGGGGAGAGCAGGTCGTTAATCCGATTCAGGCACACATGTAATATATGCAAAGTGCGTGTGTTTTGGTCCTCATTTGCCAGATTCATGAATCCCGAATATAATTTGTCTTCACTGCCTCGATCGCTGTGTGCCCCTTCTTATGATAATTCTCCGCCCGCGTTTGAAGTGGAGGGGAAGCACCCGCTTCTAAGCAAGGCTCCTCTTGCCTTTTATTAATACATTGCAGGCAGGAATTCCCAATGGGAATCTTTTTTCCTGCTGGGAAAAGGCTCAGTTGTTGAATTTCTCATGAAGGCACCAAAAAGCTGCTCTGACCTGCAGGAGAGGCAGCAATTCAACATCTTGCACACCTGGCCTGACTCATGACATGGCCAGGCTGTTCAGAATACTTGTTTGGGGTAGAAAGTGAGTGACTAAAGACTGTTTTCCCATCAGATGATCTCTCTGCTTGTGTCTGTGGGATGGGAAGTTACTGTAATGTCCTCAGATCAGTTCTGCCCACAGGCTGGCATGTTCTTTAATCTTGCACTGCCTATGCTACTGTTTTTAGTATGCCTGCAGTGGCATGAATTTGCTAGGGAAGGATGTCCAGTTCTATACCAACTTATCTAAGAATAAGCTCCATTGAACCCAATGTGATATGATTTCTGAGCAGATAGGATTATACAGTTAAGGAGTCCATCATAGATCAGGGTTTAGGAAACCATGGCACTAATTTACAATGCAAAACAAAGGTGAAAATCTCCAAATTTGACTTTGCTCCTGTAAAATAAATACATTTTTTTCTTGTAGTTTCCCAAAGATGTTGCATGTTGAGTTCTGTGGAAGTGAACAGATTTCTTGACATATATCTTGGAGGCAGGCAGAGACCACATTTCAGTTAGTCCAGTAAGAAGTGTGTGAAGATCTTCTATATCTCAAGGACCTCTCTGTGCTCAGACACATTTTATATTCCTTGTGAGGTACCTGCCACTCAGGGACAGGCCACTCAGTCTGATGGGTAGTAGATGGGGTTATGTCACGGGTGCAACACTGTCCTCCATTTTAATTTGCCCTATAGGAATGAATTAGAGCAACTGGGGGGCAGGATTTTTTTCAGCTCAAGACCTTCATTTACTTCCGGGCAACTTTCTGTCAACCACAGTGGTGGATAGAGCCAAAGACAAATGTGGGCGGAGCAATTAATGTAATTTATGTTTATACAGTGGGTTGATTTCTAAACATACACTTTCACGCCCCCCTTCCATCAGAGCACCATCAGAGCAGGGTACAAATGTTTGAAACAAACAAGAAACAAACTACAACACAGAGCAAGTAAAATTATTAAAATGCCTTGTATTGCATAAAATAAAGACATTGAGCTGGTTTAAGTGATTATATCTCACCTTACTCAACTGTTGTTTTTGCTTTAAACCCTTTTCTCTCTTCACATAAACCAAGATTAAGCCAGGAAGCTTTTTATTGCCTATAGTTTCCAGTTTCATCAGCACCCAGTAAACTATGGTTACCAAACTCTGGAACAAAGTAGGCTATGAAAACAACTGGATGAAGTGGGAAGCTATAGTTAATAGGAGTGTGCCCGTTTTAATTTCTTGTGCTGCAATGGGTCTGCATTCATGGGCAAAATTCTTGTCTGATCACCTGAATATCCCCATGCAGTGGGAATAAATGCTTTCACTGTAGTTATCTCCTAATGCTAATATTCTATCTTGCTTCGTTCTGAGCTCTTATCTTCTCCTTTTGCTCCTAGAATTTTGTGTGCGGTATGTGTGTCTTTCAGAGGAGGGGGAAAAGTCTCACAAGGAACATATTCTTTATGAAGGACAAAAGGGGGGAAAAGATAATACCATCTTTTCTGAGTGACTAGAGGGTTTCTGACTTTGAAATATTTGATTTAGTTTCCTGCCATAAAAAAGGTGATTGTATTTTTCATCATGAATGGGTGGAAGGGAAAAGAGTAGGGTTTATTATGCAGAAAAGGTAATGTTACTTTTGAAATTAATATAATATTTACTAGGTGCTGTGCCCCTGCTCACTTTACTCACCAATCCCACATACTCCCCTCCTGATTCCCACCTCCCCACTTTCTGTATGTGTCTCTCCCCCACAATAACCCATTAGATCTTCTCATTTTTCTGCTGCTGCTATTGGTACAGATTCCAAAGCTGCTGGCTGAGGCAGAGAGCAGGAGAATTCCCATTAACAGAGTGATGTTACCTGGATGAGGGAAAGACTGGAAAGGCATGGCGAGGCTTCCCTCCTACTGAACCTAGACCTTTTCCCAGGAAGAAGTGGGAGGTGGTGCCCATGCAGCCTGTAGAGGAACACCTGACTCTCTTTGAACCTTTTGAGAGGAGGAGGCAGGTGGCAGAAGCCTGGGTGAGCTGTGAAGAAACCATCTCACTCCCTTTAGACCTTCTCTAGTAAGAAAGAGGAAGGTAGTGGTGGGTGGCCTGGTGAACAGGCTGGGGTGGCTCCTCAGCAACTGTCCTCCTTGTGGGGGAAATTTGAAACAACACCATCAGTGAGGCATGTAGTCATGGTGGCCGCAGCAGAGCAGGATGATTGCTGAAGAACTACCCTGACTGTTCTTTCATGGGTTGCCTGGGCTGCCTGCTTCTGTCCTCCATTGTTGCTGAGATGGCCCAGGAGCTCTCCCAAGACTGTCGTCAACTGTAGTTTACAGCAGCCCCTCTCTGTGGTCAAGCAAGCTGCAGCGTGACACACCTCTTATGTTTTTATTATATAGCAAGAAATTATTGCATTTTTAGTTCCTTGATATATGAACACTGGGTTATTATAGGCCATTTACCTATAAAGTAGTCCCATTGAAGGAGAGTGCTTATTTGGGGTGAATGTGTTGAAGATTTCTGCCTTAATATATGTAGATTCAATTTCCCCCCCATTATATTCCTATTAAAATTATTTTGTAGGTTGATTGCCCTGAGACCCCTGGGTATAGGGCAATATATAAATTCTAATAATAATAATAATAATAATAATAATAATAATAATAATAATAATTGCTAGAGCACAATGCAGACTAGCACCTCTCAGTAAACACTGTTAGAAGAAGACACTCCTCATTTGTACAAACCTTGACAATATCTGATTTACGTACTAAGGGGAAAACATTTTGTTAGTCTCATATCACTCTTGCTTCTGAAGATGAAGTATGTAAGTATAACTTGCTGTGGGTCAATTTGCTCCATAGCAAATAATTCCACGTTTGAGTGAAAGTTATTCTTTCCCTTAGAAGCAATTATGAAATTAAACTATAGCTTCTCCAGTTACACAATCTATTGCAGCAGCAGGGATGTAATGAGATGTTAATGAGACACTTTACCTTGCTGCCCATTGCTAATGTTGATGTGAACAAGTCCTTGAG